ATTTGATTGGCATTCTTGGATCATGCTTTAGAAATTTCCAGAATCAATTGATCGATGATCTATTTTTATAAAAGGTGTGATCATCGTTATCCATTTATAGTATATTCTCGGACTGTATTTTAAAGATTTATCTACCAATTAATATAGTTTCAATAACATATACTTTTTGTCAGATCAAATAACGCACATATACAAACAGCATATATACAAATCAATAAAATAAGTTTGTCTAGTGAAGCAAAAAAATGTCTTCATGAATCGTTGCAGCAACAGTGTTTAAATCAAAAGTCAGCCGAATATAATGAAGCAAAAAGGCTTTTTACAGGTTTAACGGATCTTAATTATAAATCTAGCCATAAAGAACATATATTTTATAAATATTGGCTTGCATCTAGGCCCGAAGGATGACCCTAAAGGGTCATGGCCATATCAGCTCTTCTGATAGAAATGATACTGTGCTTTTAGATACATATCGACCCGAAGAGATTTATTTTTAATATATAATTCAGATGGCAGGAAAAGGTTATATAGCGATCAATCATCTCTCTGAAGTTTATAGAATACCTGATACTCATGAATGTATTGATGGTAACCAGCCTCTTCGTTTAATTATTGATATTGATACAAGGCAAAAGCCTGATCTTACAAATCCTAAAGTGCCTTCCTTAGATGATAAAAAAATTACATGAGAAGATTTGTTATCTCGAATTTTAGTTGCTTGTGCAGATGCATTAAGCCTTATTCCTGATTGTATGCTTTTCTTAAATTCTTTTGCTTTAGCGAGTTCATCAAACGCTGAGAAATATAGTTGGCATATTATTTATCCTCGTGCCTAATTCATAGATTATAGAGAACTTAAGGGATTCACAGAAAAAGTTATGGAATTAGTTGGGAACCTTATTCAAAATTTATTGATTATGGCCTTTCCAAAACACATTTTAATCTTCAGCTTCTGGGATCAGCTAAAGAATGTCGTATTAAAAGACCTGCTATTTCTTCTGTTAAAAACGGATTTAAAAATCTAGATAATTATCTGGTTCAGCCTAAAGAAAATTATTCTGTAATCTTGCCACGAACCTTTTTTTTTGAGGAGCCAGTAAAAGAAAAATTACAACCTATCGACAATGAAAATGCTTTGAGTAGAGGTGCCAATCTAGTTATTG